CTAAGTGCAGTGTCCTCCGTCCACTTCTGGCCTATTGTACCAGCCCCATATGATAGGTGAGGGTGATTGTGGAGCAATTGGTGGAATGAAGATTGGCAGGGGAAACCGAAGTACTCGGAGAAAACCTGCCCCAGCCCCAGTTTGTCCACCACAAATCCCACTTGACCAGACCTGGGATCGAACCCGGACGACGCGGTGGGAAGCCAGCGACTAACCGCTTGAGTATGGCGCGGCCTTCTGTCCTACCGACTCTCTTACAATTAAACAACTAAAGTGAAAAAAAAAGCGTTTCACGGATGTCCTAAACTCTAAAGTGGGAGCAACAAGAAAGAGAGAGATAGATCCCTGTAGCAGGCCGTGGAGGGCCATAAGGTTGTGAGACGTTGAGGCTCACAAATTTTGTAGGCAGTCCGGTCTTGGACGGCAGTGAGGTTGTCAGACTAACGCGCCGGCCTCCCTTTATCCCCAAAGGAAGATTCCTCGTACTCATTTCTGTTAGAGGATGAGTACACCCCAGGGCCATAGTACGGCTNGTTAAGGCTATCCATGTAACAGGCCGTGTCGAGTGGCATTATGACTGATAAATTGTATGGGATTTGTAAGGAAGCGGTCAAAGTCAGATGCCGGTACTGTTCTGAAATTTGATCAGAGCGAGTAAGTAAAACCACGGAAAGCCTAATCAGAACATCCCGTGTCCTGTCTAATATTAAAACCATGCACGATAAAGATGGAGGTTCTATATTCCTCCGAAACGTCGACGAAGTAACCAGCAAATTTGATTGCTTCGTCTTACTCTTCGACCGTGAAGATAAAGACAGTACGTTAATCCGAAACATCATTAAATCGAGCAAAATACTCTTCGACCGTTAAGATGGAGGTAAAAATCTTCCTCTGAAACGTCGGTGAACTTCTACGGACTACATAACGTCACATCCCAGAAGAAAGAACTTTTCCTTCTCGTCGCTGTAAGAACCGTTAGATACAACTTTTCAGTATTCTTCAAGTTCAGGCGATAAGCTAATCGTTTCCCTCTGACTGAGTACGTCTTCATTTTTTAAATTGTTTCAGTATAAAACACTTAACGAGGCTTAGTTCAAGTTCCGAACGAAACTGTATAATAAAGAGCATTAAGCAGCCTCTTGAGGCGGGAATGAGGCGGCTTTGTTTTTGCAGCAGGCGGAAAAGAACTGCAAGTTCGCCCTTTTCCAAAAAGGTCTTAATTCCATTCACGTTGACATCTCATCAGAATGCACGACAAACCATGAAGATGGATAACAAATCCTTTCAAAACGTGGCAAAGTTGAAACATTAGTGAAATTAAGAAATTAAGAGCAGATTGAATTCTGGGAGTGCTTGCTACCATTTGGCATATAATCTCCTTTCCTACATAAAATAATAATAATAAAAAAAGAATTATATATGAAAATTCTGGAATTTTACCAGTTTTACACGCGTATGCATAATTGGTGTCTTACATTAAGGGATTAGAACAAATGGAGGATGTTATAAACTGGGTGTTTAGGGAAATTATTTGTTTTCATGAGAGGGGACGTAATAGGAAAACGGAGAAAAGTACACAATGAGGAACATCATAAATAGTACGTGCACCAAATATTATTAGAGTGACCAAACCATGAAGGGTGAAATGATTAGATATGCAGCACGCATGGGAGAGATGAGAAATGCATACTAAGTTTTGATCGAAAACCCAAGAAGACTGTTCAGAATTTCTGTGCTCCAGTAGTGGGCATTTGAGAGCGTGGCAATCAATTTTAAGATTTACAGTCTTCTGGTATATGATACCGTACAGTTTTGTATCACTCACTCTCATGGAGCTGAGAACCCGCCAGTTATGCAGCTACTCATGAACTTCCCTNTCCCAGAATTTTATGCAACCCGAAAGTTCATCACCGTGTTCACAAAAGCCTTCCACTGGCCCATATCCTGAGCCAGATCAATCCAATCCATACCATCCCCATCCTATCTCTCTAAGATCAATTTTAATATTGTCCACCCATGTACGCCTTGGTCTTTCCAGTGGTCTCTTTCCTTCTGGCTTTCCAATCAATATTCTATATGCATTCATTTTCTCCCCATTCGTGCTGCATACCCTGCCCATCACATCCTCCTTGACTTGACAATTCTGATTATACTTGGAGAAGAGTACAAGTTATGAAGCTCCTCGTTATGTATTTCCTCCAACCTCCTGTCACTTCATCTCTCCTGGGTTCAAGTATACAAGTTTGTACACGGGAAGAAATGTTTAAGAGGAACCTGTTAACTCCATCGTAATAGCAAGAAATCTTCTACCCTGATGATGGATGCAGCAAGTTTTGGGGGAAAACTGCTATCAACAGAAGCATACGTTCTCATATTCAAGTAGACTGGAGGCCTAATTTTCATTTTCACAGCTGTCAGAACATCTCACGCTGCACAACAATAAAATTCGTGTTCAGTAAAAGAAACATAATGTCGTCTCCTGGGAAGTGCCGCCGTGCAGATCTTGTGTAAAACGACGTTTCGGAGGAACATATCGCTTCCTTCTTCAGGGTATAATCTGCAGCCACCTGCTAACGCTGTTTCCTCGCTCGCGGATTTCTCTACACTGAAGATGGAGGCGATACATTCCGCCGAAACGTCTGTTCACGTAAGATCTAAACGGCGCCACATCCCAGAGGACGGCATTTTTCATAGTCACCGCTGTGGAAACCTCAAACCTTAAATGCCTTGACTAATGTTCTCATGCGGTTTATGCGTTAACGTTAGTTAACATAGGCTACAGAGTTATTGGGGTTCTTTTTGTGATGAGTAACATAAATCTCAGCTGAACTGCAGTGGAATACCAGAGAAACACACGCGAGAGTAGTTTATACTGAGTGAGAGAGAAGATGTGAATACATTGATGGTAAAAGGTAAAACCATCCAAACAACAGGCCGTTATCAGACGTCAAGGCTCCCACATTTTCTAGACAATCTGCGCACAGATAGCGGTGAGGTTTCCAGTCTTACGCGCCGGCAGTCCTTTAACCCCAGGAAGTTTCCTGGTACTCATTTTTGTTAGAGGCTGAGTCGATCCCAGGACCATAGTGAAGCTGGAAGGATTAGCCCAAACTAAACAATCCAATAACCTCATACTTTTCATATTTTTGGTTCACTTGATGGATAGCGTAGTCGGTATAGCGACTGGCTACAGCTGGACGACTTAGGGGTCGGAGTTCAAGTACCGGTATGGTCAAGAATTTTCTCTTCTTAAAATTGTCCAGACCGGCTCTGGGATTCACCCAACCTCTTGTTCAATGGTACAGGGGGCTCTTTCTCCGGGGGTAAAGCGGCCGGGGCGTGAAGCTGACCACTCACCTCCAACTAGCGCCGAGGCTAAGAAAATGTGGCTCTATAATTCCACTCCACGATCCGCCTTCATGGCGTAGTGCTTAATTCGTTGAGCACAGGGACAACTTTGCCTTCCTTTTCACCAACTTTGACAGATGAATTAAAAACGATTCGAATGGAAGTGGCCGTGGAGTAATCGAGGGAAGTTCCCAGCATTTGCATGAAACACGTCAGGCAGGATATTCTGTACCTCGGCCGAGACTGGAGCATTCCCGCTATGCTAACCCGCTCAGTAGAATGCTTAACGAATGGCTCAATTCGTGGTGTACTTCTCAGTACGATCCTAGCATTCTCCTGGACGGAGTGAGGAAACTCACAGAAAATTGAGTATGCCCCTGCATGATATCGAACTGGACACCTGCCGAATACAAGCCAGACAGCTCACCGACTGGGCAGAGATGCTCCGTAAGAAGCTATTCGAAACTTAGTTTTCTTATAAAGTAATTGAACAAGCAAACAAAAACGGAGACAGAAGACACAAAGTCTGTTTCACTTCTCACGCCAAACTTCTGTTTTCCAACTTTATATAAACTTTCCTCGTGCTCTTCGCTTTTCACGCACAGATAAGTCTATGGGCTCGGAAAAGTGTGAAACATCCGACATGAGAGGAGATTCTTCTTTCAGGAGGTATTTCGTGCTACAGAAAAGAAGAATTTCGTCCCATTCCGAAATCAGACATAAGAAGGCGGTGGGTGACCTTGACAAGTGAGGTGTCGAGAAACGTGAAGTAATTCAACTACGTGAGATAGCATCCACGGGCGCGGGCATCACAACACAAAATTCAAGGAAAAATTCTCCCCTAGCAAGAACACATATTTCGTAACAAAATACTGTTTTGTATTGGTAATGCAAGGAAGGTGTTCTCAATTTATTTTCCTTGCTTGAAAAAATATAAATAGGCTTATGTGATCTCCATGCTGTCTCTGTGTCTGAAAATATATCCTATTAACTTTTTAAAGCATTAATCAATTTTACGAAACTTGGTATATACATCAAAGCAACTTTGCCCATTTCAATGGCGCAATTCATAAAGCCCTTCCATCTGTCTGTGTGTCCCTCCTATCGTGGCTAAGCAAAGACACTATGTATGGCTTTCATTACTAGGCAACGGCTCGGTAAACATGTTACCGCGGTAACAAATACATCGAGTGATTTTCTATGAGATCCGTGTCGTATCAAAGAAAGTAAGCGATTAGTTCGTCCCAGAAATTCTATGCGATTTATTCGACGATACTGTCTTATGATACAGTGACTATAGACGGTGTTTGGATTGGTGGACAGATTTACTGACCAGTTTACCACATGACTGCAAGTAA